TTGAAAGCTAGATCCTGTCAGACCTCTGAAGTTAAGCAGGGCAAAGCCTGGTCAGTATTGTGATGGGAGAGGTTTGGGAACACCAGCTGCCACAGTGGGTCGGCTGTGGCTGTAAAGGTTAAAGTGCATTTTATTTATCCCCGTTTTTTGATTGCATGAGCAATTCGTCCTCATGCATTCTGTCAGAAGCAATGGTTGTCAAAGTAACAGCGCCTCGGGACCATGGATCTACAATAATGTCTGGATAGAAATCATAAAAAAAAACTATTAAAGCAATGCTTTATTATTATAATGGATTCTAAGGGAGCTCAGTAAAGCATTATCACTTCAGCTGAAACAATACAAGTTTGAAATACGTTGTGCACTAAAATAAAAAATTATGTGATGAAATGTCTTCATAATCTTTTGGAGCGGACATTGACCAGTGCTGATAATAATAGCAACTCTGGTGGCTTGTGTAGCAGGATAAGATGCCCACTGCATATGCCCGTCTCATTGACAACAGACAAAAAAACTTCCAATCCATACGAGAGTCTGTGCAATAACATTCTGAACACTAGCACTATCAGAAATATGATACTCCTAAAACATCTCATTAAAAGTTAGTTTATACCAGTTGTATTAAAGCAAAGTAATATGTTTTAAAAAGCTTATGTGTAAGATCTCAGTCGTGCAGTGATTAGTCAAAGCAATGGAAGGTTTTAGTACTTCTTAGCAGGTTTTTCTAACCGACAATTTGTCCTTAATCCAAAGAACCTTTTCAAGGGATTGAAATCTCAGAACTCATAAACAATCTGAGTTAGCCTCAGGATTAGGGTGTAGCTAACCACACCCATAGGTTATAAATCTCCTATGCGCGGTCTGAAATGTCAATCCCTTTATAAAGTTCTTTGGATTAAGAACGAATCGTCGGGAAAACCTGCTAAGAAGTACAGATGATGGGTGAGAAACCTTCCTTTGCTTATTAAAACGGTTTTCACGTTTAGTACATTTGTGTATTTCCTACAACTGGTTATGAAACTTAAAATACAGATAGAAAAACAGTTTGTTGACAAGAAGCAGTGCGTTGCTACGGTAACCTTTTTCCTTTTCTCTGGTGGAAAACTGAGCAGACTCAACTCAGACCCAGAACCAGTCCTGCATCATGGGAAAAGGGACTTTAGCTGCTGACCATTTCTTGTAATGCAAAAATACAAAATCATTTCATAATATTGATGACAGGAATAATGTCACTTTTTGAGCATTTTGACCTGGTTTGATTTTTGATTATTTCCTTTTTGATTATATCTTTGTAGTTTGAGTTTTGCTTCCTGTCTCCTTTTAATTTTTTGCCTTATTGTGATTCACCTATGTGTCCCTGTGTGTATTTATTCCCTGTGCTTTTCCCCACTATGCAGAGTACTGGCAATACAACCCATCCAACTAGTACCTCACTCTCAAAACAGTTTGCTTCTATCATTATTTTTCTCACGTATGTAACTAAGTTGTAAATAATCATTATTTATACAGCGCTTCATAGTCACAAACAATTTTATTTTTAGCTTCAATCACATCTTAAGATCAGCTTTTTCAGATAGAAAAGTGAAAAAACATAGGACCACTTCCTTGGTTCTTGGACCAATTCATCAAAAAATGTCTCACAGGGCTCTCTCTCACCGGAATGCAAAGGATACCATGTTTTCTAACAAGACCAAGACAAGGAAGTCAGGATTTGTTCACAACATTTTATTTTTAAAAGACTCTTTCCATTAGGGATAAACAACATGTTGTGTCTTTCATTTGTTTCACTGTTTGGGAGAAAGAACAAGTCCCCTTCTGTCTATTGAGAAAAGTTGGGATCCTTTAATGAATGGTTACAAAAATACAATGTTGTTCTTGTGGAGAGTAAGACGACTCAGAGCTGCAGTCCTATCAAAGAGTTGTTTATTGAATTTGTAGATGTGCAGATGTGCAAACCATGGCCTCCACACCTCCTGGGAATGCCATATGAGCCATTAAATAGACTAGAGTAAATCAAGACGTACAGCAGAGAGTAAACAAATCATGTCATGGTTGATATATATAACATAAGGCCTTCTTTTCCGCTCTCTCAGATAATCAAGTCTGATGTTTGGCCTTTTGTTTGTGTATTAGCCTATAGTACATAAGGTCCTTTTGCCACAGATATTGTAGAAAACCTGTTGCCCATCTCTCAGCTGACCTTACTGCCAACAGAGAAAAACTGATACAGGTTTTGTGTTTGTAACCTTAACCCTTTCACAGAAAAAATGTGGTCAAAAATAAAACGATTTAATGATTGCATACATAAAAGTCCAAGCAAAAAAAAAAAAAAAAAAAAGAATTCAAATGGAACACAGGAACCAGGAAAACAGACAGACATAGACAATGCACCAGCAATAAATGGGTAAAGCTACAAGTGAAAAGTCAAATGAATTGATGTCAAAATAAAAACAAAAACAGCAACAAAAAACCCACTCACACGGCAAAATCAAGAGTTGAAGTTTAATTTGATTATTTACTCTTTTGTGAATGTTGACGCACAACACATCTATTCATTCATAATGCACCTTATATTTCCAAGAAGACTCAAATCCAAACAAAAGAAAAGGATACTAAAAACAGAAAGCCAGTGAAGGACTGTATTGCTTCTTGAAATAAATGACATTTTAATTGTCACAGTGTTGATAGAGCTTTCTTATTTCCTGTCAAATCTAAGAAGAAATATGTCTTATCCCTACACTTTCACTGCGTCAAGTTGGACCATTTGATCTACAGAGAATAACAGTAGCACTATAGAAACTGGCTCTGCACATCTCAAGAATAGTTGTCTAAGTGATGTGGACAGCCCATTGCATTATTGATACGGAATCAAAAGACAGCGATGATGCCAGAAATGACACAGAGCTGATGTAATCGTGACGAATCTGATTGAAAATAAGTTTAAAAAGACAGTGCACAGGAGGGGGCTCATCAATAAGTCATGCAGCAGCTCGGGCGTCGGCTTCTCCGTGTGTTTATGTATGTTTATGTATGTATGTTGTAAAAGAGAGAGGTGAGAGATGTGTCACTCATTCAGGAAGCGTCTTCTGTCCTTGTTCTACAACCTTGGTCCTGGATCTACAGCTTCAGTCCTGGATCTACAGCCTCAGTCCTGGATCTACAGCTTCAGTCCTGGATCTATAGCCTCAGTCCTGGATCTATAGCCTCAGTCCTGGATCTATAGCCTCAGTCCTGGATATACAGCTTCAGTCCTGGGTCTATAGCCTCATTCCTGGATTTACAACCTCCATCCTGGATCTACAGCCTCAGTCCTCATTCTACAACATCAGTCCTCATTTTACAACCATGGTCCTGGATCTACAGCCTCATTCCTGGATCTATAGCCCCAGTCCTTGTTCCACAACCTTGATCCTGGATCTATAACCACTCTATCTGTGAATCTCTCTCGCCATGCAGGCCTCCTCAAGGTGCCTCACTATTTTCCCATTGGGTTTTTAAGTCGTTCCTTGCGATGCAGGAGGGTCTAAGGACAGTGATGATCCAGGACATTTATGGACATTTATGGACATTGGTCTATAAGGGGCAATGTCCCTTATAGATATAGACCAATGTCTCTACGTGTTTTTTTCATTATTGCAATTTCTTGTGTTTGAACTGTTTGATTATCTGATCTGCTGGTGAATTTGGAACGTCCTCCAAGATATCTACTGTTGTGATTTGGAGCTATACAAAAATACATTCTCCTGACATTAGATAAAGGTAAAGTCCAGACCTGAATCCAATCGAGAATCTGTGGAAAGAGCTGAAGACTGCTGTTCACAAATGCTCTCCATCCAACCTCACTGAGCTTGAGCTGTTTTGCAAGGAAGAATGGGCAAGAAATCCAGTCTCTCAATGTGCAAAACTGATAGAGACATACCCCAAGCGACTTGCAGCTGTAATTGCAGCAAAAGGTGGCGCTACAAAGTATTAGCGCAAGGGGGCCAAATAATATTGCATGCCCCACTTTTTAGTTTTTTATTTGTTAAAAAAGTTGAATTTATCCAATGAATTTCGTTCCACTTCACGATTGTGTCCCACTTGTTGATTCTTGATAAAACATTTAATTTGTATATCTTTATGTTTGAAGCCTGAAATGTGGCGAAATGTTGAAAGGTTCAAGGGGGCCGAATACTTTCGCAAGGCACTGTATCTTAATCTACAGTGGTGTCTGTCATGTTTTTAGCGTTAATATGATGTTGTTTATGATGTTGGAGTATGAGAAGAATCCAAATCTCGAACAGAAAAGTAAACCACGTTGTAGCGAGGGACCGCGTAGATTAAGATAAAATCAGGCAACTTTTATATATTTTGTTATAGACTCTGTTCCCTTTTTGACCATTTTGTGCTGCCAATGGTTTGAACATGACATAATAATTTCTCCAACACATCAATCCAAGTCCTGACAATCCTCCGATGTCACAGAAACGTTTCATATTATCCTGCCAACCCCCGTTGCTTTCTCTCATCCGTCTCAGTGGTCAAAGTCAAGTCTCTCATCCAGTAAATACCGTTCCAGAGCCTCAACGACTCGTCAGCTGTCCCTTCAAATACATCAGCCTTGGAAAAAAAAAGAAAGAAACACACTCGTTCCTATTCGGAGCAGAGTAATTAAAATGACATTGTTGTGGCAAAACCCGGAGGACAAACTTTGTTAAATCAATTCATGTAAAAGTGTACTTCAAAATGAGAGATGACATGCATAAATGAGTCATAATGCAGACCGTGGGGAGGCACTTATAGAAATCTCATTACTTAAAACTCGGGCCTCGCGGTGACACTGATCTCAATTGACGTGGGAGAAGATTTCAATGTCATCCGGATGGCCTCTCGTCGCGCTAATCGCCATTCACATGAAAACAATCCAAACTGAGACAGCGTTTCAATTATTGCCTTCAACAAGAGACAATCAAGGTGGAGGAGGGGAAAAAAAAGGTTGGGATTGGATTCAGAGCAAGTTGATGGAAGCGGGTGAGGTCAATGACGGCTGGAGTGGATCAAGCTCGGCTGCATTCCCAATCAAGTTACGAGAAAAGAGTGAATTGACATTGGCAATAATCGGAGAGGAGGACGGATGAGGAGGACCGAAGAGGAGGACCAAAGTGTAGGATTGAAGAGGAGGACCAAAGAGGAGGACCAAAGTGTAGGATTGAAGAGGAGGACCAAAGAGGAGGACCAAAGAGGAGGGCCGAAGAGGTGGACCGCAGAGTAGACCAAAGAGGAGGACCAAAGTGTAGGATTGAAGAGGAGGACCAAAGAGAAGGAACGAAGAAGAGGACTGAAGAGGAGGACCGAACAGGAGGACCGAACAGGAGGACCGAACAGGAGGACCGAAGAGGAGGCCCGATGAGGAGGCCCGATGAGGAGGACGGAAGAGTAGGATGGAAGAGAAGGACGGAAGAGAAGGACGGAAAAGGGAGTCCCAAAGAGGAGGGCTGAAGAGTAAGAACGAAGAAGAGGTCAGAAGAGGATGCCCGAAGGATTATTCTGAAAAACATAGACAGTATTTTAGAAGTGGACTGACAAAGAGTTAGCATAACACAAAAGAAGCCAGTTTGAACATAAGATGGCTCCGGCCAATTTTCGGGAGCAGACAGGTTGCTTAGACGGTTGCTAAGGCAAGCTGGAGTGTCCCCTACGCTTGATGGCGTGCAATGGCACTATTATAATATTGTAACTGTTTTATACACCACTATTTCAGACTCTCAAAGAAGCTTCTTTCACTTCATACACGTATCAACTGCTACTGTAGCCACAGTTGCCCTTGGGCACAATGACAGATGTGAGGCAACCAGTATGTGCCATCGGCCCCTCTGACCACCACTGACCATTCACGCACACACCAGACTCATTTTAGGCAATGTGGGTGAACTGTGCCAACGACAGTTTGGCACTTTACAGCCGCAGCCGCTTCTGCTGTAATACACACAGACTCATTAAAAACTTGACTAAAGTTCAGGTATTAATGAAATGACATTTAAGTTTCATATCTAGCAATAACAACTCGGCGGATAAATATTATTTTTCAATGAAGAGAGATTCTGCCAGTTAATATTCATCCAAATTATTTTCATATGGAATGCTAATATGCTAATGTAAGTAAGTAAGTAAGTAAGTAAATTTTATTTATAGAGCACCTTTCACAGATAAAAATCACAAAGTGCTGTACAGGGTAAAAGCAAATAAGTAAATACAATGGAAATAAGACAACAACAAAAACAAAAAAAAGAAACTAACTAAAAGCTGCCCTAAAAAGAAGTGTCTTTAGTCCCTTTTTAAAAGCATCGACAGAGTTGACCACACGGAGGGACAGAGGCAGAGCGTTCCACAGTCTGGGGGCAACGGACTGGAAGGAATGATGAGAAAACTTCTCTTGCTCCAGTAAAACTTTTCAAATGAAATACTGAACTGCAGTAAGTCCCATTTTCGGCTCTGCGCAAATACAATTTTTCTGAATAAAATCGCTTGTGACAAGCACGATCACTCAAAGTGTCCAGAACTAGCTTAAGCCTGCAAAAAAGTAATTTTATTCACTCTGCTCCTACTGTATGTGACACAAACTAAGGGAGCTGTCAGAAAAAATATGCATAGAATAATAATGTCAGATTTGGGTCGAGGAATATGGGCTGAGATAGTAATAAACCGGGCATTCATAAAATTTGTTTTCATACGGCTGGAGTCAATATACTACTACAGTGGATAATACTCTCGCTTCTCATCGAGAAGGTCCTGGGTTCGAATCCTGGTCAGAACAGGGCCTTTATGAGTGTCAATTATCACAGAACCAGAGAAGTATAACCCTGGCTGGTGGCTTGGTGTGCGGTGGTCAGAGGACTAAGGGGAGAGGCGGCACATGTACAGTGGTTGCTCGTCTATTGCAAGGTGAATTGTGCTCTCGCTTCTCATCAAGGGTTTGAATCCCGGTCGAACAGGGTCTTTTTGTGTGGAGTTTACATGTTCTCCAAGTGTCTTGGTAAGTTTCCTCTGGCTGCTCCAGTTTCCCCTACCACTATAAACATGTACAATAGGTCTGAATGTAATGAGTAAGTGAATGGAGTTGGTCGGAGGCTTTGATTCACCAGTCTGTTCAGCGTTTCGGTTTTGTCATAATTGTTTGGAGAGAATGGAACAATATCTGGGGGAGAGCAATGGCGGTGCATATACAGTGGTCCCTTGTTTATTCTAAAAGCAGAATCTGTGAAGTAGCAGCTCTATGTTTTAAGGCTGTAAAACCCCTTACACTGATTTTTTTACACTTTTCTAACCACCTGAACCCGTGATGGCTGAAGTGCGATCACAGAGATATCAAAACTTGTTGGTTGTAGGTGTGGGCTGCTGCAGCTACTAAAAGCCTGCATACACTGTAGAATATAAAGGCACTGCGCTGATGGACAGGAGCAGGACTGAGGACCAAGGGAAGATGGAGGTAGTCTCACACAAGCCACAAATGTATTATTCCAATAAAACAAAGACAGGATGTTGGTACCACTTTTTCCTTGAGGGTCAAACAACACATATACTATAATTTATGGTGAAAAAACTATTTTACTACTCCACCTACATGGACTCTTGCTGACTGGATCTAGAAATTGTTGCAAACCAGCCAGCACATTGGCTCCAAGTCATTATTTTCTCCCACTTTACAAAAACTTTATTCACTTCTTTGTCAACAACTTTCCCTGTCAAACTTCTCCTTCTCTTGACCTGACAATGTGCCAAACCGCGTTGATGCCGTTACCACAGCAACAGCGCTAAGGCATTCCGAGGGCTGTCTGACACATCAAAAATGATTTCTCACAGTTTGGTGAGCCTCCGTGCAGCGTCCGTATGCTTCTGCTAATTACTTCCACGGCAGAGCAGAAGTGAGACCATCGCACTACCCCCAGACCCACTGCGGGATTCACTTTTTCTTTGATAAATTATTTGTGATGGCTCCACGATTTTCAGCACGAGGCGAAGAGGCTGTGTGTGTCAACAGGTTGCAGCCAAACTAGAAAATGCAAGTTTGACAGAAAGAAATTAATTTTAGCAGTGCATACGTCTAGGGCTGAGACAACTAATCGATTATTGAAATAGTCGACAACTATTTTAGTAATCGATTAATCGTTTTCTGGTTCACACGGACTCAAACAGAGCAAAAATGACATGAAAATGTAGTATTTTTGATTAAAACCGACTTTGTTTTGATAATTTCATGAATATCTGTCTGTCTCATTCAATCAGATAGCAGAATTAGCACAAAGAGCCTGTTACAAACATTTACTTTAAGTTTACGCCATCAATACGTCCTCGAGTGTTGCCACTTTAGCTTTTTGTGATGAAAAAATATTTTTTTTCTACACAATTCACAGCCAAGCGATTACTCGATTAATCGTAAAAATAATCGATAGATTAATCGATTACAAAATAATCGTTAGTTGCAGCTCTACATACTTCTGACATGTTGTGTGTAGGATTCTTGTTTTTTATCCAACTCTATACTCCATACTCTGCTTTGTTTGTCAATCCTTTCTGTTTTGTTGTTTTTATGCATAGATCAATACCTGTATGTTTTTAGTTGATTGTGGAGAACATTTTTGGTTATAGTTGGGGCATCTATTTTTTTTTTTGAATCGCCATGGTCATTTGTCACTGGTTGTCAAACGGTTGAAACAGATACTACATTGTTTGGCAATACACACAACTGTAAAAGTAAAATAAGGGCAAAGAAGACCACAACATGCCTAATGCTTATCACTTTTTTAGAAAACAGTTCATATTTTAAGAAAGAGCCCTGTGAGTCACTATATAATAATAATTATACTGAATGATTTGATCTAATTAACCCTCGATGTGCTTGAGGGTTGAACTTCAGTTTACGTCTGTGTAGCCCTAAATCACAAAAGCAGTCATCTCTGTGGACTATACAAACTGGTCAATCAGAGAAACAACAGTTCAAACACAAGAAATGCAGTGATAAAAAACACAAAGAGCCGTGTGAGCGGGAAGACCAATGTCCACACTGCAAAAAAATGCAGTAAAATATGAGGTAATAATTGCTTGAATCAAGTGGTTTTTATTTTAAATTGAGAACATTCTGACTGTATGAAAACTAGGTTAACTAATGGAACAAAGCCATTTTGTCTTTTGTCTAGAATTGTTGCTTTATTTGCTAATTCTGTTTCTAACAAGATAACTTTGCTTGTCCCATTGACAAATCGTGTTTTAAGGCAGTCAAATATGCTCAAATTAAGATACATTTTTCCCAAATTCTACTGTAGCATTTTTTCATCACTTTTGGCAGTGCATAAATGTTAAAAAATGTTCTTAAATATGTCAGATCATCGATGTCCTTACACCTTTCTACATCAGCAGTGAAACACTCCATAAATAATAAACCCAGTGGAAAAAAAGGCAGGCCCATAACACAATATCTCACAATAGTTTGTTGTTTTGTTGTGTATTTGTATTTGTCGACTTAGGTGAGGTCTGATTTCAGAGGGACGGACACATAACCCCTTCTTTCAAATGCAGGTTTCTTCCGTCTCCATTACATTGGCCACAGTGTGATACAAATAGACTTTAGTGATATTGCCGCGGAGACGGAGGAGGATTAATGAACTCCAGCTGCTGTCTTGTCAGAAGGAGACGTCCGTAGCTCCATCGGAGGTTGATATTCCGTGTTCGTCCCGCGGCAGATGAATGCAGTTTGTGTTGTAATGGCTTTGGCCTTTTCTCAATCTTCCACCTGGAAACAGCTCGTGCATATAATGAAAGTGATTGAAGATGGCTGTTTGCATTTGTTTTTGGGTCTTTTCCCCAGCAGAGAATAGAAAAGTCACACCAGGACAAAGTTTTAGTCAAGCAATCCATCACCACATCAGGTGTATATTGTTCATAAATAACGGCTTGACTTTTCTGAAACCATTTCAGCTTTTTGCACCCAATCTCTCTAGAGAATTAAGTCTCTGTTTATAGTCACTTTGAAGCCTTGGCTTGTCCTGTTTTAACTCAGGTTTGGCTCCAGGTTTTGTCCCAATTTAGATTTGGTGTGTGTGCAGGTAAGACTATAATGCTTCTAAGATATTTTGAATTCCACCCCACTCCTAAGACGCTCTACAACATTATTTCTAAGCCTACTTTTAATGATGCAATCAATCTGCGTCAAGTGAAATAGGCTGAGTTTTGTCTCTGAGTTACCAGGTGAATTGTAAGTGATTTTTACTGCATACAAATCACACAAAGTGCAATATTAGTAGATGTGTGGTGGTTGAAAAGGATGGTTAAAAATCCTTCAAATTTGGCTTTTCACAGAATTTGACCACGTTTTTGTTGTTTTCCCTGGTCATATGCACTGACAAGTTTGAGTAAATTAAATTATCTTACAAGCTATGATGGAATGAGTTATTCTTTGTGTGACCGAAAAGGACGAGATTGCGGACACAAGCAATCCAAATGAG